ACTTTCTATTTTCCATTACTTTTCTTATTTCTCGTGTTACTTTCAGAGAATTCATTCCGTAATGTTGTTTAATACTTTTAAGTTATTGTATAAGGGATATAAACCTTAACCTTTTATTTCGTTTCCTCACTTAAATTATTATATATTTTCTTTTGAATTTTCGGGATTGTTACATGACCGATCTGTCCATATTTTCTTGCCACTTTGAACCAACCCAACACAATCCGCACATTAACAAAAAAATCATATAGATTAGGACCAAACTAGTCGAATTAGGGAAGTTTAGTATGTGTGTTGTATTTATCCTTTGTGTTTTTTAGATCCTCTATCTCTTTATATTAAAAAATTATTTTTTATTGACTTGTCGTAACGATTATGAGCTAAATTGACATTTACCTTTTACTAAATTAGCTCACTTTGATTATCAGCTAATATTTTCCTTAATAAAAGAAAATATTGAATTTGAATTAAAATGTTGGATTTGAATTTTGAACCGATGTAATTATCTAAATTAAGAGAATGCAGACATTACAAAATATTTTTTTCATTCTTAAATATAATGGACTCACTGATACTTAACTCGACTTGATCACCACAATCTCACCAACACACCAATAAATTTAAATTATTATTTGATACTTAAATTATATATATTTTTTTGTTTATTACGTCGAGACTTATGATTTACATATAATTTTTTGAAGTTTTTGTTTTTTTTTTTGTGGACTCACCCAATTCTTGGACAAACGCGGGTCTCATACTTTAGACAGATTTTGTAGCACCCGGAAAGGAAGAAAAAAAAAAAAAAAAAAAAAAAAAAAAAAAGGGGCGGCCACGTCAGCAGCCACGTCAGCAGGCCCGGTCAGCAGTCCCGGCCAACCAGGGCCTGCCACGTGGCAAGACCGCGTCACTCCAAAAGGAGCCACGCTGGCGATCCGCGTGGGTGCGATCCGACGGCCCAGATCAATCACGCGATCGGACGGCCCAGATTCAATCGCACGGACGGCCCAGATTCAATCAAAAACGAACGGCCCAGATTAAAACAAAATGAACGGCTGTGATCAAAAGGCAAGGGGTTATAAATAGAACCTCCACACCAGACCACAAACCCTAGCCGCCAGCCGCTCGCCGGAGAAGACGAACCAGAGGCCGACCGCCGCCACCCGCCGCCACTCGCCGCCGCACCGGGGAAATTTCCGACCGCCGATCGAGGTAAATTTCATACCCCCGACTCGTTTTTCCCCACTGATTCCTCCTATGGCCAAATCGAAGCCGAAATCCCGGCCAAACGGCCGGAATACGCGGCCGAAGCCCAGCGGCACCGCCGCGCCCCCTCTCGGTTTTTGCCTCCGACGAGGCCCTTCCCGGCCTCCGTTCGATGCAATTTTTATATCACCGTGATCACCATTCTTTTCTCTACAGGTTGACCGAAGCCAAATCACCAAAACACGAACTTCGCCGGAGAGTCGCTGTACCCGAGAGCGCCGCCGCCGGTAAGCTCCGTTTTTCCGTGATTTTTTGGCCCCCCGAGGGCCCTAGGGTTGTTTTCTGACAAGGACCAATGCGAGTGTGGCCGAATTCGGCCAAAAACGGCCGAAAACAGTCAACCCGAGGCGACTCGCCGCCGCCAGCGGCGGCGCCGTCGCCGGAGCACGGCGGAGCCGCCGTGCCGGAGTTGCGATTTGGGCCGAAAGAGGCCCTGGGCCTAATTTGGATTTTTTTGGAACCCGTGCAGGTACTGTGAGCGTGTTTCAGTTCCCCGGGAAAAATTCAGGGGAAAATTAGGGACAGCCTGCAGGCGCACTGTGAATCGTATTCGGATCCCGAAAACAGGTAAGGACCCCTCACCTTATTTCATATCACGGTATTAAAGTTCAAAATGATAAAACGGTATTTCTTGAATTAATGCATGTGTGAAATTGCTTAAGGTAGCTAATGGAGCCCGAGTCTAGTGTGATTGGTGGTTTACTGTTATTTGGCCTGTTTACAGCTTTAAATGCAGAATGAGGTTTGATGTGTTCATTTTACAGATTTGTGTGCATGTACTACGTTTTTATTAATTATGGGTTGAATGACTGAAAAACTGATACTGTATGTTGTCTGTTTGGTATGAATTACGATTTGCTTGTTTAAATGTGAATTGATGATGCTGATTGAGGAAAAGGAAAAATGAAAGATTGTGTAAACTGATAATTGTATTATGGGGGTCAGCCTGACTAGATATCCTGGGAGATGGTGGACGGACCGGGTCCGTAGGGAACCCTACCGGAATTGTGGTCTCACATGCCGGACGGGGTATGGAGATCTTATGGTTTTGGCGCCCATACCGGACGGGGTATGGGGACGGCCCGTTTCACCCTCATACCGGACGGGGTATTGAGGTTTATGGTTTTGGCGCCCATACCGGACGGGGTATGGGGACGGCCCGTTTCACCCTCATACCGGACGGGGTATTGAGGTTCATGGTTTTGGCGCCCATACCGGACGGGGTATGGGGACGGCCCTGGAAACTGATTATGAATGTTAAAGGTTAACGGGTAGCGGAACCCCTATGGACCCCCACGAATACTAGTAGGCTGGTAAATGAGAAAAAGATATGTTGTACAATGATTGAATTACAAGAGGCGTGATAAGTGTTATGTTTTACAGCTTAGATTATTCAATGATTATGATAATGTTATTGTTTTTCTCATATTGTTTTCATAAATTCCACCAAGGTAAGTGGATGGTCAAAGTTTTATTATTGATAAAAGGTTTTGTTGTTAATAAACGAGTTTATTGTAAATTATGCTCCATTGGTCTTTTTGTGGTTTTTTACCCACCTTTATCTCCGTGACGGTGAGATATCGTGATGTTCTTACTGGGCTAGTGTAGCTCACTCCTTAATTAACCATTTCAGATCAGGAAGACATGGTTCCCGAGCCCGTTCCGCAGGAGGACGACGAAGGGGATGCCTAGAGACTCTGTAGTCATACGCATAGTTTTATTTTCGAGTTTCTTTCTTAGTTAGTTTAATCTTTTATATTTTAAGTACGTTTTTGGTTTTTCGTGTAAGGGATGTTAAATGAAATTTTGATCTCGCTTCCGCATTCGATATATTTAAATACTCATTTCATTTTAATATTTTCCGGGGCCGTTACATTGGTAATACCAAATCTAACCTCTTATACAGTCAGAAGATATTAATAACACTGTTATCCTGATCACCTCCACTTGACTATTGAGAAAATCAAGCATAGAGCTTGGAGAAAATAATAGGTTGATTTATCAAATATGAAAAAGAAATAGCACATAGACCAAGCTATAGACCAGAAAAGTAGGAATTAAAAAGTTTTGCTTAAGATGCATAAAGATAACATTTCAAAAGGAAAAGAGTTGGGCTTACCCTCCTCGGAGGCAAGTTGCTTCCATGCATTTACCTTCGAAGTTCGAGTGTCTGCCTGAAATGTATCATCTATGAGATAATACCATAAAACGATATACAATATATGAATATATTGGCAAATGGTCCAATTTTGCACCTTGAGACACTTCTCTTGACCCCATCATTAAACAGGCATTCTAGGATGAGTTAAAGTTTCGAATAAACTTATAACTTCGCAGATGCTATTTACTGATTTGTCTTGTATTCAATTAAATCCTTTTACGTTATGAACTGATTGTAGTGTACCATTTACGGTTCCAAACTACCAAGATACACATAAGGAATCCAACAGATCTAGATTTAGGATCATGAATCTGAAAATACAAGCAAAAAGTTAAAAGAATTTACCACAACATTGTCCCAGGAGAAAATAAGTCCGTATGCCTCGTCAGGTTTCATGGCATAGCGTATTCGTTGAAGGAAACCTTCTTGCAGTCTGTCATTTAAAAAGTCCTACTTGCAATAACAACTTGTTGTAAGTTATACAATCCTCAGCTAAGACTACAACAAATACAAAAGTTTTAGCAACCAAAACAAACACCAACTAAAAACTTGTTAATTGTTACCACATCAACTTTAAGAGGCCCATCTTGTCTAAAAGTTTCAAAACCTTCTCCATATTCAGCTCCAATTGCCTTAAAACGCAAACACATATAAGGGAAAGCAACATTAAATTCAGAGGAAAAGAAATCAAGACCCAGAAGCTGAACATCACAGACTTCAGTATACAGCAGTGTATATCACAGACCCAGATATCAAGCTTAAAACTTTCTTCCATCCTGCGTGGCAATAAAAAATAGGGAGAAAAAAGAAAAAAAAAAAAAGAAATTTCCCAGCAGAGAAAACTAACAAATAACGCACCTCTTGCATGAAAAGCTTGTTGGGTGTGATATCGAACCCGTTAACAGAGCCATCTCTGTCGAACCCAAAGGCGTTATTGATTACCAGACGATGCTTAACCAGATTAACACCCTTTAATTTCTAGTGAAAAACATGCAATTAATAAGAAACAGCAAATGTCAAGAGGGGAAAAAATTTAAGAAGAAAATGAAGAAAGAAAGACATACCGATAAGCTGAGCTTTGAAGGGGTAAAGGAGAGAGGAAAACGAAAAGAGGATGTCTGTGAAATTAAGAGAGAAAGGGTTCTGTTATTGCTGCAAGTGCAGTCCATTAGAACCCAAATAAGAGAAAAATCAACTCAATCAAAGAGAGCCTGCTTGCTCTTCTTAGCCTTTTGATTTTATTTTCTTCTAAAAAAAAAATTGCTTCGAATAAATTTTATTATTCTCTTTTTTAAAAAAAATATATATATATATATATAATAATAATAAAGGGATTTTGTTGAAGAGGATGATGATGCATGCAGCTCGGGCACAAATCTTCTTTCACAGGGGGCACGTGTGCTGCGACGTGTCTCACACGATACGACAGCGCTTTGGTTTTCAGGATATTCTTTTTTCTTTTTCATTTATTTTTTATTAAAATTTAATAAATATTTATTATGAGATTTCAAGGATAATTTCAGAATTTTAAAATTATTATTAGATTTGAATTTTTCTTTTCTTTTTTTTTTTGTGGGGTTCACAACATTAAAATTATATTGATATTACTAATGGTTTGTAAAGATAATACCCAAGATATTGGGTTTGTTCGAATAAATTTAGAATCTGACAAATAATATTATCATTTATTATCAATAATAGTGTTTAAAAGTTATAAAATTGTCGTGAGATTTATGATCAATTATTAAGTTACGTAATAATTTATAGAATAATTTTTTATAACTGTTGTGATTTCATAAAATTCATAAATCACTTCAAAAATTTATAATTTTATGAAGTTTAGAATGTGTTACATATGAATGATTTACGATTAAATTTAAATATGATATTTTACGACATGATTTTTCAGGTATAAAATACATTTTTAAATTCTCAATCATTCTCATAGAAAAAACTTTGGTATCTCATGTTTTTGACAAGAGTAAAATATATGATATGATATATTTGTAACGATATCATCCATATCTATGGTAGATTAGTGCGAAAATGTATTCATTTTAACATTATACGCTCCGTATACGATAAAATCAATGAAACTTGTGAATAATTTTTTCAAAAAATGTGAATATTCTTTTCAAATTTGAAGGTTTAATATTATTTACGGTGAAAGTACTTCTCTATTATACTTTAATAATGTAGTTCTCTCAAATATATAGGTAGATTATCAAACGTCGTTTATGTCTTATTGTGGAGTATTTTTGGAGTAGAGATTTGTGTATTTTTTTTATCACAAATTGGTGGATGTTCATTTACTAATAAATAAGTTGATATTATTTTTCTTTATCTTACTAATGGAAATATGATTTTGAGATCTGTATTAAAGAGATGAGACTTTAGAAGTGGACTCCACCACCTCTTAGTATATGTAAACTCAGCTTTGATGCCAAATTGAAGGAATAAGGGTGGATGGATATCGAGGTTATTTGTAGATGATGATGGAATGATATATATATATATATATATATTTTGTAGAAATGAGGAGAATGATAAATCTTAAATTTGTGAAACTTGCATAATCCATGATATTGATGTTTATATTGAAAATAGCTTATGAATTAGGTATTATTGTTGAAGACAATTCACCAATCCCTGTTAAAATTTTGTGAGTAAAATATATTTAACTTGAAATATATTATTTCTTTTTGTATTTTAGTTTTTCAGTTTTTATGTTATTAGATATCTAAAAATTGTAATCAAGTTATAAATGCTCTATCCAAGCATGCAATATAATGTTTTGATACTTGAGATGAATTTGTTTATTAATGAATCACTTTCTTTGATGGCTTCTTCTCTTCACCTAGATGATTATGTTCATGATTAATATACTGTTATGATACTTTCTCAAAAATGTTTTTTTACAGTAACATGTTTCATTTTGAAGGCACCAAAATGCCTCCAATGTACCCGACGAAGAGAAGTACGCTACTTTTGATTGGTAAGAAAAAAAAAAACAGTAGAAGAAACAGTGGTCTCCATAGTTCTTCAAAGTTTTGAGCTTGGACCAGCAACAACGACGGAGGGTTTCTTCTCCCTTCGTCGATCCAATTCTCCATCTCTTCCTCCTCTTGCTCTGTCATCCAAAATACCCTTTTTGTAGAAAAAGAAAAAATCGTCATAATGAGTATTAGGTCCCGCTTAGATGCGATCGTCTCCTCGATGGTAACAGTGCACCCTCACGAAATTCCTGCTCTGCTCCACTCCTCCTCCTGCTTCTTCTTTGTAAGTCTCCATTCCTCAATTTTCTGAAACATATGAAATCAAATCCAAAGACCCACTTCTAGTTTCTAATCAATGTGTACTGACTACAAGAAAGTTTTGATTTTAATTGGAAATGCAGATTCTGAGTGCATACTTCGTGGTGCTGCCATTGCGAGACGAGGGAGCAATCTCTCTGGGTTTATCTAATCTGCCGGGTCTCTTCATCGGGTCTCTGGTTCTCACGTTGATCGCTGCCCCTGTTTCCTCTTTTATCCTCTCTTTCCCTAATTTATCTAAATCGAAGGTATTTTTATTTTTTCTTTCATTAAACCATTTACAATTAGGAAACTAGTGGGTTGTGCCTGTATGAGTGAGTACAATATGCATTTACGTAGAAGAATCATAGAAGTAAAAAGAATGGATGGTGATACTGGTGTGATTTTTTGAAAAAATCAATTCTTGTTCTACATGTTTCTGCATTTTCATTAATATTTTTGTTCATAAAAAAGAAAGTACTAAAGAGGTTTTACTGACTTATCTCAACCAGTGTCAATTTAGTACTTCTTATGTATCTGCCTTGTAATAGCTGCTTCTTGAAATTCCAGGCTTTGGTTATGATACACAGGTTTTTTAGTCTGTCACTTGTTGTGTTTTTCATTCTCTGGCGAGAATCTTCAGCTGAAATTTTGCCATCCAATTCAAAGGTAAATTTATGAAGTCCATGCTGCAGTATTTCTTTTTTTAGTGTGAGTCTCATTTCTTGGGAGAAATCTGATATTATATCTCATTTTGTGCTGAACTTGATATATTTCAATTGTAGGAGTCTGTTTCCTCGTCTTCTCAATTGAAAGAGGATGTAAAGAACGGTACTGTTCGAGCTAGTTCTGCTAATTCTGTAGGTTGGGGAAACCATAGTTGGTTTTATATTTCTGTGAGAACTGGATTATTCCTCTGGGTATTATACCGACTAAGCTATTTAACAATTGTTTTTACTGAGAAGTATTACTTGTACAATCAATCTTGCTGGGAATGATGGAATTCTTGCTTTTTGAAGGTTGCACTTCTTAATCTTGTGACTATTTCTTCAACATGGACTAGAATAATTGATGTGATGGACAATGAGGTACATATATTGCAAACTTGGTTTATTACAAGGATTATGATATTTTGTGAATCTATAATGGCTGCTCTGGAATTCAGTCAGGTGCAAGATTATTCGGGTTCATTGGTGCTGGTGCCACACTTGGCCAACTCTTTGGGTCATTGTTTGCCACCGGAATGGCTTGGTTGGGACCATGTATGCATGACTTTGTTTTTGGATCAAGCATGA